GCGCGGTACCTTTTCTGCCGACGCTGCTCGAGAACGACGTAATTAACTGAGTAGTGTAGTACCTTCTCTGCTGACGCGGCTTCTGTTAACAACCGGCGTTCTCGAGCAGCGTCGGCAGAGAAGGTACTGAATGTTCAATTAAACACTCTGTTGTATGTTGTGCCAACAACTTAGACAAGCCTCTATTAGAATAATAATAATGATATCATCATTATCTTCATCGTATACAAAACAAAACGCTTGTGATCGGTTCAGAATAAAGACAAAGAGATTAACCATCAAAATTATGGAGGAAGATGCGGTTATCGACAGACACAAATTTTAAACTACTTTAATAAAATAAACTATTTCTGCAATTATTTTCACTCATCCATGGCGAATTCCTTCAGTATAATTTCTTTTAAAATATTATCAACTTGAAAACATACAACAGCTTAGATGTTGAACACTGAAAATACGAATATATTTGAAACTCTTTTTATGATCTCAACCGGGAATATTCTCAAAATATGTGATGAGTGCAATTTGTGTTGACAGGATATAAACTTTATTCTTTCAGAGTATAAGTGGAAAAAACTCCGCTAAACTAAAAAAACTATGAGAAAGTATGAATAGAGATTAATTTTCTATAAGTTTGTGTAGTTTAAACTCATCTCCTAGCCTGGGTATAAGTAGTAACGTTAACGTACAATGTGCTATTCAAATAGTTGCCTTATTAAAAAGTTTTACATACATGTAGGTCCAAACCACATATACTGATAAGATCTAAGTCTGATATCATTTCGATTTTGGAAACGAACTGACGTGAAATTCGTCAATAGAGATCGAATTCGAAATCTTCTAAGAAGTGGCTGATTAACACCTAGAGTCTAAAGTTAGTTAACTGTATTGATACTTGTATTTGTTGATAATCGTATTTTTTGTAATTTCGTATATAACTCATCATAATTTTCATGTCTTTGGTATATTGCTTACATCACAATTTTTAGTAGTTGGATGTAAGCTGAGTGCCATTGATGAAAAAGAAGTTAATGGAATAAAATATTTGTGTATGTTCACTTATTCTATATGTGTGAGTCTACTATGTCTATCTTATTATAAGAAATTGAGATTGAACTAAAGAGAACGTATGTGTTTANTTTTTGTTTGGCTCTTTTTCCCTTGTCCCATTAAAATTTTCTGTGCTCTCTCTCCATACAATTCTCAGTCGATTTTTGTTTTTGCTTTTTCTGTATTGTAAATTATAAGGCGTGCTCCTTAACTGTTCGTATTTTTTGTAATTTCGTATATAACTCATCATAATTTTCATGTCTTTGGTATATTGCTTACATCACAATTTTTAGTAGTTGGATGTAAGCTGAGTGCCATTGATGAAAAAGAAGTTAATGGAATAAAATATTTGTGTATGTTCACTTATTCTATATGTGTGAGTCTACTATGTCTATCTTATTATAAGAAATTGAGATTGAACTAAAGAGAACGTATGTGTTTACCTAGCAGAACAGTTGAAATATTAATTATTAAAATATTCCATTATAGTATTCTAAACTAAAACTATCGAAGAACACAAAATCAATTTTGTACGAATAAAGATTCTAACATGTGAATTTAGCTTTGCAGTTAACTGCAAAAATTTACTGTAAAACATTTAATTCATTTCATGAAAAGAAAGAAAACTGAATTTTCTTTTCTCTTTTCTCTCTCATATCATTTCATGATACATAGATCTATAGATTACCCAAACATGGAAAAAAGCAGCTGGTAGCGCACAATGAAGTACAAAAAACGATAAAAAGGTAGGAAGGATACATCCAGCTGAACAATGCCTTTTTGTACTATTAATTTTCTACAGAAAAGTGAAATCCGTCTCTTTTCCATGTTACGCTGTAGAAAATCTCCCTATATTGTGATTAGAAAATATATGGCTTTTTAGGAATCGAGCATTTAGTAGAGTTTTTAAAGCCGTAACTCTGAAACGGCAAGGACACTTAAAGAAACCTATAAGGCAATTGTGCAACGAATAGTAAGAAAGCAGAAAAGTGCAACCTTCATGCAGATTCGAACCTGTCAGAGACTAATACTTTTCGACTTCTCGTATTTTCTACTTGAAAAAAGCATTTTCCAGAGTTCTGTCGCGAACATAAAATGTGACAAATTTGATTTCCTAAATTTTATCTGCTGAGCTTAACTTTGTACAAATCTATCTTTACGGTAAAAAATAGTATTTACTGCTTTTCACCATGAAGAACGCTCTCTGAAAATTTAGTACCAACGCATCAAACTTAGAAAATTAAATTTGCTACATTTTATGATTAGGAATCAACTCTCAAAAGTGCTTTGTTCAAACAGAAAACACCAATCTCTAAAACATCTTGTCAATGATTCCATCACTTTTCAACTACTACATGTGTGCCTGCTAGCTTAGTTAGTTAAATCGTCGCGTACTTCCTTATGTAGTTCGAGTGGTATAGTACGGTATACTTGTAATCTATAGGTATAGAGATCGAACCTTTGCACGAGCTTCTTACTTTTTTTCGACCCAATTCTCAACCCGCTTCATAGGACGTTAAATCGTACAATGCAATGGACTCTACGCTACAACTAGCTTACACTATTTTTTATTGCTTTTTTGTGCTTGGATATATTTGTTCTCTTTATGGATATTCATAAATAATGACTCATACACTGACGTGTAACCTCTAAATTAAGGAAGAAAAATCCTAGGTATTACAAAGTATTGACTAAGCAATAACTTCATCATCCTATTTCGTCATCATTTGGAATGATACAAGAATATATGTGTAGTATAAAAGCAAATAGACATATTTATTGTCTCGTATAAACTTACATATTGAACGTTGATAAAATGACACTCAATTGTCGATTTTATGAAAATAAGTTACCTGACAATAACGATCTTGTCATGGTCAATGTTGTCAGAATCGAAAATGTAGGGGTTTATGTTAAACTACTGGAATATGATAATATTGAAGGTTTGTCTAGTGTATATCATCGATGATGCATTGTCACTGTTTTCTTTTGTTCTATATTATAAAGGTATGATTTTAATGTCAGAATTATCACGACGACGTATTCGTTCAGTTAACAAACTTGTTCGTATTGGTCGTAATGAAGTTGCTCGAGTTATACGAGTCGATCTTCAAAAGGGATACATCGATTTGTCCAAAAGCCGTGTGCTAAATGAAGATGAAGTTCGAGAGTGCGAACAAAAATACATTCGTGGACGAACAGTCAATAGTGTTCTTCGTCAAACGGCACATGAACTATCGATCAATAATAATGATGGATTTGAACAATTTTATAAGAATACCGCATGGTTTTACGATCGGAAATATAAATATTCAGGTGCTTGTTATGATGTTTTTAAACAAATTATCAAGTACGCATACAGAAATCATCATTTCGTATTCAAATCTTATTTTCTTTCTTTTTTATTAGAGATGAAACAGAAATAAATAACTGTTCATTGGATCAACAAGCAAAAGAAATTCTATCGACAAATATTCGGCGACGATTTATGCCACGAGGTGTTATAAAATGTCGAGCTGGTGAGATAAAAGTTCAGTTTTAGCATGTTTAGGCTTAAAAAGGCAGTTTTCTCGTGAAGAAAAGTAGGAGACTTATTTAAAAGTAGGAAGAGTTATTTTTTGAGATTCCTAGTGAAGAAGCATTCAATCCCTTATAATTAAAGTCGGTCTTGCTCAGATTTTGTTGATCGCGAATGTCATTGATTCTACAAGATGGATCAAATGTACTTTTTGCGCCTATTTGGCCTAGTTGTAGAGTGTCCACGTATCGTCAATGTGCCTGCAGAGAGAAACTTAATGCAGAAAGCAACAGATGAATAAATAAAACTCCAGCGCGGGAAGGCCACCAACTGTCCCATCGCTTTTCGCTCTAGTGAACAAGAGGTAATCGAGTGTGCTGAATCTGAATATCACAACGATTTTTCTCCAAAGATCACTGGAGATCCAGGTTTTTGGAAAACCATTTTTTCAGAAACTCTAAAAAGTAATAAAAACCTTTCTTACCAAAGCCTGATTGTAGCCTTCACATTTCTGATTAAAATGAGACATTTTCCAACTCAACACGACCTTTCTTTGCAAAGTTATAGAATTTACAAGAAAAGCCTTAAATGAATTTCTTCTTATTTCTGTAGCTTCGAGGTGACAATGAACATTCAGAGCTTTTCTTGTAAACTCTATAACTTTGCAAAGAAAGGTCGTGTAGAGCTGGAAGATGTTTCATTTTAATCAGAAATATGCAGGCTACAATTAGGCCTTATTAAGAAAGCTTTTGGTTATTTTTTAGAGTTTCTGAAAAACTGGTATTCCAAAAGCCGAGATCTCCAGAGACCTTTGGGGGAAAACGACTGCGAAATTCGGATTCAGCACACTCGATTACCTATTGTCCACTAAGCTTTAGACGAAAAGCGATGGGACAATTGGTGGCCTTTCGTCGTAAGTACTATTAGGCTATGTGTCAAGTGAAGAGTCGCAATTCTTAGAAAATTCCACTGCGTTATAGATAAGACAACAGAAGACATCGTACTGATCTTACGTAAGTAACTTAACTGTCGATAATGAGGTCAAATGTGCCTTAATCAAGCAAAAAGCAGCATTCTTTTTTTCAAAATGTTGTATTTTTAGACATATGTCACAAAGCTAAGAATGCGGAAAGTTTTTTGACATTTCCGTCTTTTTAAACTTTCAGTTTGGAAGAACATTACTGTGACGTTTGTGATGTTTCTAATTAAAATTTAGATTTTACTTTGTTTTCTTCCAGATCTTGAAGTTGCTTGTTACAACTACGAGGGCATCGATGGAGTTAAGTATGCACTAAGGCAAGGCTTACTATTGTCAACAGAAGAAATTTCTATAAAAGTATGTAACATTTTCTTCTAGACACTTTATTACTTACTTTAAGCGACTTCCTCCCTTCTTTAGATCAATTTAATTGCATCACCATTGTATGTCATAACTTGTACATGTCTTGATTCTGATATGGGTTTGAATACCCTGAATCGTGCTTGTGAACAAATTAAATGTGCAATTGAACAATACACTCAGGGAATATATAAAATAAAAATGGAGCCAACAATTGTTACGGATGTAGATGAGCAAATAGCACCGACTGAACAAGAAGAATCGGATGAAAGCGATGAAGAGAATTTTGAAGAAAGTAAGAAATTATACCTGTCTGTTATGGTCAAACGACTAATTTTCTTCTCTTTCTTTTTAAGATGACATTATACTATACGACAGCGATGAAGAGGAAATATAACAGATTTTTGTTCTTTAGCTAATAACAAATACAAAAAAGCATATTTACAACCAGACTTGCGGAGAGAGTTCAGCATATATAGGTATTTGGACATACTCACGTTCAGGAATGTACACATAAAAACAGCTCGGTATATTCAAGGATACTGGTTTTGAATACTTCATGCCAAAGTATTTTTCTGTGTGCGCTGTATGATCTTAGACTAAAAACTTGTGTACATAAAACAAATAATAAAAACAAAAAAATGTAAACAAAGAATATTTTTTTGTTGGCTTCTCAACTGTTTTTGTTTGGCTCTTTTTCCCTTGTCCCATTAAAATTTTCTGTGCTCTCTCTCCATACAATTCTCAGTCGATTTTTGTTTTTGCTTTTTCTGTATTGTAAATTATAAGGCGTGCTCCTTAACTGTTGTACTTTTGCTGTAACCGAAAGAAGTGATTATAGTTCCATTTTCTACTGCTTTTATATTTTTCTTGTCAATGAACTCATGTAGATGTTAACTGTTAACCTTCGGGAGCAATAAATTCAATATTAAAAAAAAATATGCCTGTTGGTGCTCGTAGGAAGAGACTTTTCAAAAGGAGCCAGAACTTTTGTTTTTGACGGTTTTGGCACAGCTTAAAATCAATAGTTTGCTTACCTAGAAGCCTACCACCTGTTGACTGAAAAACAACCAAAAACTGTGTACTCACCCACGGATAACCTTACATGACAAGGTTTATTTTTCACAACGATATAACAAAATGTACTTTTGATAGAGCTTTTGCCATTTCTACTATAAGTAGCATTTCATAAACTAAATATTCATATGAGCTCACTTACGAGCCGATAGATAAATAGATTGAGAGTTTTAAAGTAACCGCAAGTCAAAAACGTCCTGACTGAACGTTGGTCTCTCAACATCAAATGAAGCCCCCAAGACAGGTTTTACAAACCTTTTTTAGGTTTTATAACTGAAAAGGACGAGAACCGATAAGAGGCAAAATCGGTCCCCTTATATATAAATCGTATATTCACGGGTCTGATGTAGTTTTTGTCCACGATTACGCGTAACATATTTTTATATTTTAAAAAATCCTTTTCAGTGCCTTTAGGAACAATTTTCGCATACAAAACCATTCTCTCGTACGATAAACTTTCCTCAGAGTATTTTCATTATTTCATCTCTTTTGCTAACGAGGGAGCGTTTTTAAATGCCCCCTGCTTTTTCAACGAAACCTAGTGGGTTATAGGTTATCGATGATGCTGATTTCGAATATGAATATGAGAGCTGCTCTTAGGGCTTCGAAGATCCGATTTTGTGAAAAACCATTTTTTCAGCAATTCTGAAAACCAACTAAAACTTTTCTTACTGAACCCTGCTTGTAGCCCGCACATTTCTCATTAAAATGAGATCTCTGCCAACTCTACATGATCTTTCTTTGCAAAGTTATAGAATTTACAAGAAAGCCCGAAATGAATTTCTTCTTATTTCTGTAGCATTGAGTTGACAATGAATATTTCAGAGTTCTAAAGTAACCGCAAGTCAAAAACGTGGCTTGACAACTTCTATCAATCACGTGATCCAGTCGCTTAGACGCTTACTCATTTGAAACTCATTCATCATCTGTTTTCTTCTTTGTACTACTCTCTTTGTTTCTCGTCGTTCATCGACTCGACAATCCTCGACAAGAAATTTCAACATAGACTCCATGATGACTGTGCGATGAAATCACATCATGTGAATGTCCACAGTTTGATTAAAATATGCTGTCTTTCACGAGGAATTTTGCGCGTGAATATGTCAAGTAAATGCATCGAATAAACGGAGAGAAAAGTATGAGAAGAATCACTAGTATGTTTGAATGTTCAATTGGTTTTTTTTTTAAATAAAAGTGCATCCATTCAAAATCAAACGAGATAATTAAGCTAAGTATTTTCAAACAGGATTATGCCAGTTCAACACATAGACATCATCTTTCAATATGCCGCTGATCAGTTATTAAGCTTGCTAGTAATCCGAGAATTAGTCAGACTGAGCTTATGAAATAAGTTCACTGAGAGTAATCTATTGAACAGCCCATTTCCGCGATTCGATTGTAGTACTTCGATGTTAACTTTTCAAAGTCGGTAAGAAAAGAAGTCTCATCAATAGTATGGTGATTATTTCAATGCTATGTCTTTCGATTACAATACAGCTTTTTGATATTTCCAGGGAATCATCTCCGGATATCAGTTCGATTCAATTGATCTCTTCTTTGAAAACTTGACGAAATAAATCATCTTGAAAGCATGACGAAACTTTGGTTTTCCAACGGAAACTTATATACCTCGAATTCTTTATCGATTAGTGGAAATCGCGGGTCGTTAGTCGGATATGTTTGCTATTTGCGAGTACTTATAATACCGCTTATGTGTTACTGATATTCACAACAAAATACAACAACTGTATTAACTGTCGTCTCTTCTTTCTCTCCTGATTTTGTACGTTGAAAATATCAGATTAAAAAATGTTCCACTTTGACCAGTAGTTCTCCAATCCTTCGCAGTTTTTGCACGTTGCCATAAAACGATCATAAATTCGACGACTTTGTTCTGGCGTCATGAAGGATTTCCAATCGTTTATTTCTCCCTTACGTACTATTTTCATCTCTGATTCAGCTATGAATTTCTCACGACGTTGTGCAGCTGCTATTTTATCTTCTGTATTCTCGATAATTTTCGCTTCAAACATTCGTCGTTCAGCATCAAATTTGTCTTTCATATAATCGAATGATGAATGTTGCATCACTTGTTCAAGTAATTCATCACTCAAGACGATATTGATAAAATTGGCGACCTAAAAGAGAACAGACATGAAAAAGATAATTGCTACCCATTTCTGAATTTCAATCTCGATTTTCAGTAACAAAATCAAAATGGTTTTGTTTTAAAGAATTCATGGCCGAGAATGATTTTCGAAGGGAGAAACTCGATCATTGTTGATTAAACGTCAATAATTAACTGCTGTAGAAATGATGAACAAGATCAGCGTAACTACTTTCCACTAGCTGAGTTAGCGCATCATCAGATACAACTAAAACGAACCTTGCATATCACAGATCGAAGGTCAGTTCGCATGTCCTCGTAGGATACAAGTAGAACATTATCTTCATTGCGTCGCTGCCATGTCGATCGAAGTACTTCAAAATAGTCGTTTAATAGTAGACGTCCATCGATGAAATATTGGAAGAATTGATCGAACTCCAACTTTGGCACTTCACCCAACATGTTATAGAATACATAGTACGATACGCAAACATCTTTCGGATTTCTTATTACACAAATGTATTTAGCTAGTGGATGATTTGACACTCTATCCATCGGTAAATGAGTTTTAATTGCACCCGGTCGTTGCATTATTTCAATACCAAGTTCACCATCTAGCTCCAGAGTTGGATTTTGCTCAAAAAAGTGGTCTCTATCAGCATCAAAAGGTTGTCCACCCGTCTGAAGATTATACACAATGTTTTGCATCCATGTTGTTCCACTTCTCGGATAAGTTACTATGAAGAGATCATCTGCCCTGGCTTGATAAGAGAGAGCAAAATAAAGACTTTCTAAGCCCCACTCAGGCACCCAGCGTATACCATCGATGAGCGGGAATGGTTCTTTTTCTTCATTTTCATTGGAAGCTAAAGAAAATAAATAAAATGCCATTTGCGATCCACGGACTAGTTATAATTGTGCAATTATTGATTATACCTGCTGTCTGGTGCTTTTCCATTAGTCACTAGAAATCAAATCGTTTTGCCCTAGAAACTTCTTTGGAACTTTCTAAATCTAAAACTAAAGTGGAGAAACAAACTTTAAGTATCTTCATTTTTGTAATTTCTAAATTCTAGACCAAGGACACTCGATGTGACTCATTGGCGTAACCAGAAAATGTTTTTAGGAGGCTCAGCACCTCGAATGCTCCCTACAGAGGGGCTCACATCGGCACTTGCAGCACTTTCAGATTTTCTAGGAGGATTCGAACATTTCTACAGTGGAATGAGCCTCCTCTAGTCCCGCTCTGGTTACTCCACTAGTCGTACACTTATTATCAGCAAACTTCAGATTTCTCTTCAACACTCGTGCTCCATCAAGAGGGGCAACTCCTGATGAAGGAATCAACAGATATTGATTTGAATTTACTATGACCATCAACTCATCGAGGATGATCTTGCTGCCATTCATTCTGATTTTCTCTTGCTGAAATTGCATGGTCAAGTAACTCACTAAGTTGATGGCTCTCTGAGTGATGATAACAGTTTTTCGGTTGATCCAGCAGAGAAAGTAACTCATTCTTTTTCTTCTTCATCTCCGGTCGACTGACTCATCGTCATGATAAAAATAATACGACCTTCAAGACTTCGCGACAATAACAGAATACAGAGGGTGCTGCATGCAAACTTCTTATTTGCGTAGCTTTTCGTCGATTTCATCTATATTAATTGCAGCAAACATGTTAGAAAGTATTTTGAGTTTTAAGTCGAGATTCTTTTTGAAGGTCATTCGACTGAAATAGACGCAGTTATTACACCCATGCAGGGACCATAGGTTTGGGGCTTTGATGTCGTGCTTTTTGTCTCATTTTAATTCTGCGCTTACTTTTAATAATAATGCTGTTCGTAAAAGTATTTCGATGACTGAAACATGTGGTTGGATTGTGACATTATGAGATGCACAGAAACGTATTGCACTATCATGTTTTGTTCTTACTCAACATGAAGAAAGTGAATTCTATGTAGACATTTTGATCTAAAATGTGTGTATGGTAAGAGTATACGCATATATATCCATCTATGTACGCATTCGTCTCTTATGTTGTCTTGTTCTTTGTTCGTTATCATTCTAATGGTGAATCATATGTACAGAACAACGTAGCCAGCATAGAGTTGCAAGCACAGGCGACATTTATCATTTTTGATCGATGTCGGACCTCTGTGTTTTCCTCCAGAGGTATCCATACTGAAGAGCTGATATTTTTAGCAAATATTCTGCTAGTTTATACTATTCAACTGATATAAACAAGAAAGCTTCAACGAGCTAGCTTCACCGTCCGATCGAAACTTTGGATCGCTATTTAACATTAAAGCTATTCTTACATTATTTAATTTAATGCTTTAGTTAAGTTTTATATTGATTTGCCGCTGATCAGAATTACAAGATACAATTCATGTCGGGGGAAACAGCGCAATTATTACAAAAAACAATTTATGGAGATATATCAGTGACTCGTGCGTATATGGATATAACAAGATATGAGCTTTTATCGTGATAAACTAAGTCCTTACTGGTATTATATTTATATATCAATTAAGATTCGTGTGATTAAATTATTATGTAAACAATTCAATCAAGCGAGCAGTCATATGTTATTGGATAATGCAGGGACACGTCTTTGAATGCAATACCTGACCAGCGTTGCAAATGCCAAAATCACGTATTTCTACAGTGTTTGTTTTATTTAGGATCCAGTTGTGCCAACACCTTATATCAAAGTATCGGATGAAAAATTTGAATTATTTGCTGATTGGCAACTTATCACAGAAACAACAAATCCTGCGACAGCATTGGCAGTATTATTATCCTTATACAATATATTTGAAATTAAATTTACAAAAAATAATTGTGCTTCGCATTTATTATATGGTATCATTTTTCAAGATGGAAATGAACTTGGCAAAAGTTTACGTACAGTCTTAAGTTCATGGGATTATATATTTGAAAATAGAACACAAGGACCACAAATGCAAAAGAGAAATGATATTCACGATGTTTATACTCAAGCAACACAATCATCAAAATCGCCTGACAATCGAATGAATAATTATTCGTTTTCATCAGAACGAACGACAACAAGCTCACGTCAATTATTCTCACCGACAATAGAAAGAAGACAAAAGCAGATACAAAGAATTGTACAAGAAGTTAAAAATGATATTAATCGAGAACTACACGATCTATCGTCTGATTCATCTGAAAAATCGGAAGCAGCAACAAGTACTGAAACAATACAAGATCTATCATCGTCCATCACCACAAATAATGAATCAACGTTATTAGAAGACATTATCAGTTTCGATCCAGTATTGACAACAAACAACGAAGAAAACGAAGACTCGTCTCAACACCCAAGGAACAACAATCGTCATTACGTTCAGCAGCTAAAAGAAGTCGACAAGGACAATCTTCTTTTCGATTGTAAGAGTTTTTTTTCTTTGATATTTTGTGGTTTTTCACTCTCATTGTTATGTACATCATATGTACATTTTCGTTTAATATTTTTATGTAATATGTCACATATTCATGAGCTAAATATTTCTGATTTTTCATTGTTTTCACTTGTTATTTTTTGCGAGCAGGAGAAGGTAGAATAAATAACAGAAAATAATTAAAACACTGTACACAAAGAAACACGGGATAGGGCAAAAAAGGGTTCGATACCGAACCATTTGAATGGCACTAAAACATTTGCGGCTAGAACCTTTTATCTTAAATCAAAAAGAAAGGTATGAGACAGAACCATTTTTTGGCTTGAACCTTAAAAGGCTCTTTAAACGGTACCCAGTTCTCGAACCTTAAAAGGTTCTATCCGGCACCGTGTTTTTTTAGAGAGTAGGCATGATGGGACATTCACGCGGTGTCGAAGGAGTTCGAAACACTTACAGTATCTTGATAGAAGGGGTTGCAATCCATTTAGAGTATGATAAAATACCATGTTTCTCGAATACTAAATCGTAGTTTATGCTGAATGCATCGGACAAAATCACAAAACTTTGCTTTAGTCATTTCTGCAACTTTGATCACGGGCAACATCAGTATAAGATTCACATTTTATTGCTTGTCATGAGTCACTATCGCCTTTCTCATATCTTGAAAGTCTATTATGACGCACAAACATGACAATATGATGGTGCAATGACACGTTCTGTGGGTACTTATAATCTTGACAGCTTGTTTTTCTTGGTTATTTTGTGCATGCGCTTGTCTTAGCGGATGCATCTTTTTTCTACTTACTTCAGCGATACATGAAAAGAAGGTAACAGAATGGCTAGTAACAAGAAGCCGCTAGACGGTATTCCTAAAGAATATGCCATAATTGCAGAGAAGACTGCAGCGGTAATTACTGCTCAAGGACAACCACCCTCAATGTCCAACAATCGATCTCCGGCACCGAATTCTTCTCTTCCACCAAACCAGCAACAGCACATATGGAAGATTCCCCCCACTAGTTCCAACCATAGGTCAACAGGCATGTTCTTCATGTTTTTTCCCAGTTCCGGTCGAATGGGCTTTGAAACTGTCAAAATGTCGAATGAATTGCCCCCAATCGAGATCATCCGCGAGATGATCGCTTACGAAACGCGTATTCGTTTATCTGAGCCGATTCAAGAGCTTATCGACATGTATCATACGAATGGGGTTGCCGTTACGTAAGTCTTGTTGTTTTCCGTCCTCCGTGCTCTTAACTAATTTTGTCATGTTGTTTAAGTTTCATATACGATCTCATTCAACAACATGTCGTGGAATGTTTCGGATATCATGATGTGAACGCATTGCGTACTGCCGTGCATCGCTTTCCAAACGAACCCGTAGTCAAAGCAGCTTTTTATGGTAAGTCATGATAGTTAACGGTAAAAACAGACTGTTTTTGCTTAAAAAATTATTTTTGGTTCCAGCCTATAAACAAGCTAGTATATAGTTTCATTTCATATTATCATTGTATCGATAGTCGGCTTCTTTGTAGTATTCATAACACTGTAGTAGAAGTCAACAGGAGACATAGTACCTATCTGGAGTAAAGATGGCATCTTTACTTTATTTGATGATTAGATAAGTCAAGTAATACCTTGTCTAGAAATTTATAGTATCAAACGTATCAAAATAGATTTTCTCCATCAAGCATCATTGCATGCATGTGTTTGTTTCTCATGAGTACATAAGACATTGCTCAGATTGTCCTTTCCATCCTGTTGTGTCATACTGCTTTTCATCTGTTTTTACTACTAAAATCTATTAAAAAAAAATCATCGAAAGAGAAAAAAAGTTTTGTTCTAATTATGGAAACATTCAGATCAAGTTTGGTTGCCAAACTTGAATATGCGTCTGTGGTGGTGACCATCACTGACGTTTTTTATGAAAAAGAACCTAGTTATGTTTAGGCATATGCTTTTCACCGCCAATTATTGAAACTAAACTGTCTTGTTTCATTCGTTTCTAGTGAAGTATAACAAAGTCACTCAGGGTCTAACCAATCAAGGACAGTGTGTTCGTGACGTCGATTTGTTCACCCTTGAAGGTCACTCTACGACTCTTTTCGTGCAAATTCCAGCTGGTCAACCATTAGTGTTGTTGGTCGGCTCGATCAGCTGACCCCCATTTCGGGCGTCGGTCGAGCGAATGAAGTAAGTATTGTTGAACTTATCTATAAGCACACTGTTTGTGAATCGTATATATAGCGCGCTTTTTCGCTCGCATGCGCCCGCTGGAATGCGCTTCTTGGTGATTTATATCGCCGAGGCGCACGCACGCGATCAATGGCCTGCAGGTAAAACCATTTCGTGTGTGGATCAACCAACAACAATCGAACAACGACTCGAAAATGCTCGAGAATGCAAGAAGAATTTTAGATTTGAAATGCCTATGCTCGTCGACAATATGGAGAATACTTTCCATCTCACTTACGGATCATGGCCATTCCGCTTCTACGTTATTTATGATGGCAAACTGGCTCTGAAAGCGGAACTTGATAAGGAAACCTTTTGCTACCATTATGATGAGCTCGATCAGTGGCTTGACAACTTCTATCAATCACGTGATCCAGTCGCTTAGACGCTTACTCATTTGAAACTCATTCATCATCTGTTTTCTTCTTTGTACTACTCTCTTTGTTTCTCGTCGTTCATCGACTCGACAATCCTCGACAAGAAATTTCAACATAGACTCCATGATGACTGTGCGATGAAATCACATCATGTGAATGTCCACAGTTTGATTAAAATATGCTGTCTTTCACGAGGAATTTTGCGCGTGAATATGTCAAGTAAATGCATCGAATAAACGGAGAGAAAAGTATGAGAAGAATCACTAGTATGTTTGAATGTTCAATTGGTTTTTTTTTTAAATAAAAGTGCATCCATTCAAAATCAAACGAGATAATTAAGCTAAGTATTTTCAAACAGGATTATGCCAGTTCAACACATAGACATCATCTTTCAATATGCCGCTGATCAGTTATTAAGCTTGCTAGTAATCCGAGAATTAGTCAGACTGAGCTTATGAAATAAGTTCACTGAGAGTAATCTATTGAACAGCCCATTTCCGCGATTCGATTGTAGTACTTCGATGTTAACTTTTCAAAGTCGGTAAGAAAAGAAGTCTCATCAATAGTATGGTGATTATTTCAATGCTATGTCTTTCGATTACAATACAGCTTTTTGATATTTCCAGGGAATCATCTCCGGATATCAGTTCGATTCAATTGATCTCTTCTTTGAAAACTTGACGAAATAAATCATCTTGAAAGCATGACGAAACTTTGGTTTTCCAACGGAAACTTATATACCTCGAGTTCTTTATCGATTAGTGGAAATCGCGGGTCGTTAGTCGGATATGTCTGCAGCATTTTCAAATTTTTAACCAACTAACTACTAGGACATAACAGTATAGTATAATATGTTGGAGTTTATATGCATTATTCGCACACTAAACAGCAAAATTCTGTGCAAAAGCATTGTTCTCGCGAACCAGACAAGAAAGTTCTTAAGCAGAGATACAAAATTCCCGAGAGTAATTCTCACACGAAGCGGCATAATTTTCGTGCAAACGCATCTTTCTCATGACCGAGGCAATAAAGTTCTCAAGTAGAGATACAAAATCCTTGTGAAGATAGCATAAGATGTTCGAGATCACATGCATAATTCTCACAAAAAACAGCATAATCCTCGTGTAACAGCATTATTCACGTAACCCAGATTAGAAACCTTCCAGATTAATATTCTAGAGATACGATATTCTCGTGAGTATAGTATACTATGTTCGAGGTCATTTGCATAATTCTCACAAAAAACAGCATAATCCTCGTGTAACAGCATTATTCACGTAACCCAGATTAGAAACCTTCCAGATTAATATTCTAGAGATACGATATTCTCGTGAGTATAGTATACTATGTTCGAGGTCATTTGCATAATTCTCATACAAAACAGCATAATTCTCGTATAAAACCATTATCCTCGCGACCTAGGCAATAAAGTTCTCAAGTACAGATATAAAATGCTTGTGAAGATAGCATAATGTGTTCAAGATCACATGCATAATTCTCGTGTAAAAGCATTATTCTCGTAACCCAGATCAGAAACCTTTGATAATAATACAGGTTACTGAAACTAGTTTAACTAGTTGGAACGGCCTCTAAGTTTAGCGCTGCAGCTAGTTGGGCAGCGGGTGCTGAACACATTATACAAAACAGTTTGACTAGCTGAAACGCCCAATAAATCTCTAGCTGCAGCTAGTTGTACACTGTTTTATAGTTTGAAGCTATAAGAATTCTTTGAAAAGTTGCCTTTATACGTATAACACGCTTTCGTCACGATATCGAGTTTTCCACAAGGAGGGTGATGGAAAAATGAACTTTTAGTTGCCTTATTATTAGTCAAAAAGAAAGTTAAATATTACGTTTTGTAGAGTAAAGTTTGCTCTACAACCTGATATATCAAGCTAAGTTTTAGCTTTTAGTTTCGGATCCCAAGAATGAAAATATACGAGAGATCTTCTGTCCAAACTGGTTTTTTAGGACCTTTGAAAGATTCCCTCACTACTCTCAAGCAAAAACAGACACACCGTTTACGAGTCCCTACTCGAAAAGAGGACAAAATGCTGAGTCTTACAACCTACTTTTGGCTCTCGCTAATTGCTTTTAAGTGGCGGAAAAATGACCGAATATTTTGTATGAAGACTTTCTTGACACAGGTTACTTGCAAGCCCATAAGTTCAGCAGACGGTCCAAATATTGTCAATGGGACCAACCACTGACGAAGAAATGCTGGACTTCTTTGGGATCATCATCGAGATGGGATTAGTACAAATGCCAAGACTGAGTCACTACTGGAGCAGCAGTGAGTTGTACGGGTCGGAGATTATTCGAAACTGTTAGGAAGTAGTTAACCTAATCTCATATCAATAGTTGGCATCTTTCAATATACATATTCTCATCATCACTCGATGGTTATTTTCCCTCTCTGTTCTTCTGAGATATATGTAATAGTTACATTCTTCTTTGGCTATTAACCATTGTATGCAAACCGCTATTATGCTACTGCAACGAGAAAAGTGCATACTACACCAGAATTTTGTATCTTCATTTTGAAACTTCAGTGTCTAGACATATTATGCTACTTTCTTGTCTAGCGCGCGAGAATACTGCTTTCACACGAGAATTATGCTGTATTCTGTGAGAATTATGCATGTAGTCCGAGGCTTTTCTGGCTCGCGAGAATAATGCTTATGCAATTATGCATCTGAGCTCGAACACATTATGCTATCTTCCCGATAATATGGCATCCATACCGTACTCACGAGAATTATGTATCTCTGCTTAAGAACTTTCTTGTCAGGTTAGCGAGAACAATGCTTTTGCACGAGAATTATGCTGTTTAGTGTGAGAATTATGCATATGAACTCGAACATTTTATACTATACTCACGAGAATATTGTATCTCTACAATATTATTATCAAAGGTTTCTGATCTGGGTTACGAGAATAATGCTTTTACACGAGAATTATGCATGTGATCTTGAACACATTATGCTATCTTCACAAGCATTTTGTATCTCTACTTGAGAACTTTATTGCCTAGGTCGCGAGGATAATGGTTTTATACGAGAATTATGCTGTTTTGTATGAGAATCTTATACAATTAATCTTATACAAATCTTATAGGATTGAACTTCGTTGGTCCGGTGCCACCATCGTCCAATGGGAACAAATATATTCTAGTTTGTACAGACTATTTGTCTAGATATGCCATCACACAAGCAACTGCCAACTGTGCTGCCGAAACAGCAGCTAAGTTCCTGGGGGAAAAAGTCATCCTACAGTATGGTGTACCGAAACAATTGTTGACCGATCGTGGGACTCATTTCACGGCGAATGTTTTCGAAGCAATAGCATCTCGATGTGGCATCAATCACATCACAACAACCACGTAGCATCCACAATGTAATGGTCTCACCGAACGGTTCAATTTCAACGCTAGTCGGATCAATCGCAACATACGTGAATCAGCAACAAAGGGACTGGGATGACTATTTACCGTATGTGACATTCGCATACAATACATCCAAACAATCGACAACACAAATGGAACCATTTAAGTTAATGTATGGTCGAGAGACGATCCTTCCATTCGATGCACCCAGTCCAATTACACAACTATCTACCGTGAACGATTACTATGCACAATTGGTCCAATTTTTGAAACAAGCCAGATCAACGGCATGGTACAACGTGAAACAACAACAGACTATATACAAACGAGCCTATGA